TAGGCCTTGCTTATATCTACCAGTACTCCACAATGTCTCTGGTACCCTATGACATCTAAAATGTCATGGATGGTATCTGTGGGCAAGATGCCCCCATTTATTAGGTACAATCTGATGTTATCAATACTTAAGTAAATCAGAAACAATTTCATTGAAATAAGGTAATTAGTCCTTACAAACTTACGTCAAGAAACATCTTGGTCCTTCTCACAGAGAGAGAGACCATCAGAAAAACTATGTATACATACATGCCACCTCATAACTGCTAGGCATAACTTCGCTAGGCAGAAGTTTTGAGCTTGTATCTTTGTGAAGACAAGAAGTAATTAGCCACAAGACACAAATTTCCAGGAAAACAAACTTCTGCAGTTGCAATACTTGCAGAACTATTTATTCATCATAAGTTATGTATGAATTTCATTGCCTTTAAAAATCAAGTGCAACTTATTCATCTGGCTCTGTGTAGGATTTGCTGTTGGCTGTTAATGAACCCTGATTCCCAGAAGAAGCAGCGGTCCCCAGACATGAGAAGACACCACCATTTGACCTTGGACATGATCCATGTACTTAATGTACCTCACTGCAGACATGTCCTAAGCAAAGAGCCAGCTTATAAAAATTAAAAAGATTCAATGAAAAATGCTGACTACTAACAGACAGAGCTGATCCATGCCAAGGTTTTATATCACAGATAAGCAGAGTATGAGCCATTTGTCCTCTTATTAAAATGTGAATCTATTAATATGCTACAAGTGACATTTAGGGAAATGAATAGCCCATTATTCCATAGGGGTCTCATTAAATATAGCCTCTCCTGAGGTTGCTTCATGGCAAAGTTTGTAAGTGGATTAGTAGGAAGCATGGAGAGAATGAATGAACTTCAGTGACTGCTTCTTAAAATTACTCCAGGTAATTAAAAAGACCAGAGGTATCTGGAGAATTCAACGTCTAATAGTGGTCTAGCAGTATTTTAAAAACATCTAACGATGGAGTTAATTGAGCTTTAAAATTAATTTAGCTGGTCTTTGCATTAACAAGTAGCTTTTATGTGATGGAGGAATTAGCAGTTAAATATTGTCTCAATAAGCCTTCAAAGATGTTTCCTATTTTCTGTGTTGGCCACTATTAAATAGTAGTGTTTATGCAAATTATAGTGCCAAAGCCTTTTCAGTACCAGAAAACGTTACCCTCAAAACTCATTAACTTTCAGCTACCATGTTCACAAAGAAGTACAAGACAAAATGGGTTCTAAAGGCAGTGCTACAAGCTGAGTACAAATCCAGGCACTAAGAGGACATGTTCAGGTTCAGGAAGGCATTACTATTCACTGCCTTCTTCTAGGATCTTGGTAAAGAATGAGGGGAGAGACAATATTCACTGGTTGTCCAAATAGCAGAAGGTTTTATTTTTAACCTGGGTCTCAGTAGAACTGCATTCTCTATATGTAAATGTATAAAGTGGAGAGCTCAGCTGAACAGATGAGGACCTGATTTCCTTAGGTGGGATTTAGTACATTTAACTGCTATGTTCCTGTATCTTGTGAGTGTAATGAAGCAGACCTTTCTGAGGAAGTTCCTAAGTTCCTTAGATAGTCAAGACGAGAAAGAGAAATGGCTTTAAGGCCACTAGACAAGGTCATGTACTCAAACTTGGATGAATAAGAACTCCCTCTGGAAGTTTTTACAGTCACTGTTTGCTTATTCCACCACCTAATGACTCTGAGAAGGTACAGGAAATCATATAAAGAACCATCATATCAGTAATAATAACAATAATAACAATTTAATTTTCAATATTTTTCGGTATTCTAAGAAAAGCTATTAAAAGCTATCCACTACATCCATGTTGTCTTATAGACAGCCTAGTGGCAGCAGGAATGACACTGAGCTCAGAGGCAACCAGACACATCCAGACCCTCAACCTGTTGCTCTGACTCCAAAGAAAGTCAGTACTTATCTGATTGCAACTGCATTAAAAAAAAAAAAGAAAAAAAAAAAAAAAAAAGTGGGTCTATTTGTTACTCTTTTTATTCTCACTATCTCAAGACTCCATGCATTTTTTTTTTTTATTCTTTACTGTCCTCTTTCTTTCAAACCTTTTCTGAAAATATCTGTCTTCCCATTTTTCTGCTTCATATTCTTGGTATATTTTATCACTGCAAAACATTTGGAAACACATTTTGCATGAAAGACACTGTCCTGAGGAAGGGCCAACTCACACTGTGTTGTTTGCATAGAGAGCATGAAGGAGGAAGAGCAATAAAAGAGCAGCTTAATTACTTTGGAGCCGCTGTGGTTTCTGCTGCCACAGCCTCTGCATGAGGTCCTGACGCAGCCACCGGCGCTGGTGAGAGAGGCCTGATCTTGCTGACAACTCCTCTGGTGCAGCTTTACCCAAAGTCACTGAGCAGCTCATAGCAAATGAACAAGCCACAAAGAGTGGCAGGACATCAGTGACGTAGCCCAGACTAAAAAACTTAGAGAAACAGCAATGACCTCCAAAACACACAAAAGCCTTTCTGCCCTGTTCCTCTTTCTGCCCTGCTCTCTCTCTTCTGCTAAACAAATCATAACCTCTTCTAGCAGTGCTGTTCACCTCCCCTTGAGAGGTGCTTTATCCAGGAAAAGAGTGAAAAATCAGAGCACTGAAAAAAAAAAAAAAAAAAAAAGTCTCACTTTTTGCCTAAGTACTTGTAGTTTTTGTGCCTGAAAAAGCTAGGGTGATATGACCTAGCCTACATTGTATATGTCGAGATCGTGAGACACAGTGGAGAGATCTGGATCTGACTTCTCAGTTTCTTCCAGAGCCAAGGATTACTAGTGACTATGCCTGATTCTCTGGGGCAAGCACATTCATCAGTAGGAAGCACTTGAGAATTTTCTCATTCTTCACTGGATTAGACTTTGAGCAAAAATCCACAAAAGTAATACAAGCCCAAGTGATCATAGTTTGTTTCCTTTAGAAAGCACTGTTTTTTTCTGGCCAGTCCCAGCAACAACATGCCTGTCTTAGCAGCCACTTCAGCTCTGTTGCATTTGCCTTTCCTTCTGTTCTTTTTCCTGCTTGACCTTGGGAAAATTCTTCCTGCCTGTCCCAGGTTGCAATGCCACTGCTGGAATAATTGAACTATAACAGAAAACCTTTCAATTTACTTCTTTCTTGTTTTTCAAGATTCAGACATTTTGCTTTACCGCTTTTGGTTCTCTTATCTTCTTAGAATTTTGTACCTGGGAACTTATCTATATGCAAAATCAATGTTGAGAACTTCAATGCACCATCTGTCTCTGTTTATATACAGTGACACCCCAGACACAGGGCTTGTACCAGAAAGTCTCTGCCTCTAGTCTGAGTATACAAATAAGAAAGGATACAGCAAATTCTCTGTATTTTTTTAAATGGTTCCAGCAGGATTATCCACCTTTAATCTAACCATTGCCAGTACTGTAGTAGGTATCTACATTTCTTTCCCACAGTTTCAACAGGCTTTGTGTGCTATTTCCACAGAAGTTAATGTAATCAGCAAGTTTACTCTCACATGTGCCCTTTTTGCAGTGGCTGCAAGTTGAAGTGAGACAGTGGTCTGCTTCCAGGTTAGAAATATCATAGGACTAACTGACACTCTATTCTTTTTTTGGTCATATGCCATGCATGTGACTTCCACTCTGAAAAGCCAAACCTAAACAAAAAAACACCCCAAACCCACAAAAACATTGATTTTATTCTTCATAGGTGAAATATGGAGCATTTTTGCCACTTGAAAGTCAAACCCATCTCTTATATGTCATTGCACTCACTGGTTATTATCAAGGAAAAATAGGACTCATTCTTGGGAATTATTTTTCCTTTAAGCTTTGTCTTTTTCCTTCTTATTCATATGTCTTGTTCCTCCAAGACTGACTGTTTCATGACATTCCAAGTTACTTTTCTACTGAAACTGTGTAGACTGTATCAAAGAAAGCACATCTCACAGAAGTGCCTCCACATCACATTATGGACTTCACATCTCCCGAAGAGCAATTTAAAATGAAGAACAACCTTTTCCAACATCCTTTCAGAACTGCACATGGACATTAGCCAGACACAAGACTGAGCTGCAGAGGGTGCATTAAACTCCCCATCTGCTCTTCACAGTGCTCATCACTGATGTCTAACCACGGTAAAGTCATTTGTCCAAAAAAAAAAACCGTGGATGAGACAAGCATACCAGAAGCTAGATGGACCTTTCCTTCCTCAGTGTCCATGGAAGGAGATGTGTCTGATCCAGCCAACACTTTCTCAATATTTCATTCCAGAGCATGTGATATCTGTAAATAAGTCATTCTCCAAATGAACTAGGGAAGCCAGGTTTTGTTCTCATTTACATTACCTTATTATCTCAGCTGATCTTAGCACAACTATTAATTCATTCCAGTGTACATGATGTCAGAGTATCCCGAGGGTCTCAGCAGCCAGCTGAAAACTTGGCAGAAATTTCGAAAGTCATCTGCAAGTTTTCACTTTCCAGGAAACCTCTTTTCTAACCCACTCCTTCAGTAGGTCCAGTTCCCGTTGTGGTGCCACGATCTGACCCCTCTGCAGACGCTCTGCTCCGCAGGAGCCCGCATTTCCTCCCACGGGCAGCTCTGCCCACTGGAATACGGACTTAATATGGGACTTTTCTTTGTTTCTTTTTTTTTGTTTGTTTTTTTCTTTTCTTTTTTTTTATTTTTTAAGGAACCAACCCCGGCTCGTTTAAGGGATGTATTCTGTGCGACATCCGTGGGACGGTAAGAGCTGATGCGGATTTGTACGATGCCTGGTGACTTCCATCCCCTAACGCCGGTGAGGTCGGGGGCTCACCCCACTCCCAGGGGGGCGCAGCGCCTCGCCCAGAGGGTGCGCTGGGCCGGCCCCAGCCCCTGCCCCAGCGCAGAGCGCCCCGCCCGCCGCGGCCCCGCGGCCCCGCGGCCCTGCCCGGAGCGGGGGGCGGGCCGGGGGCGGCGCTGCGGCCGCGGCCGCGCGGGACGGCAGCGGGAGCCGGGGCCGGGGCTGAGCCGCGCTGGGGAGCGGGGAGCGAGGAGCGAGGAGCGGAGCTGCTCTGGAGGGGCGATGCGGGCGGGAAGGTGCCGCGCTGCCGGCTGCGCCTGAGCCGGAGCATCCCGAGCGGGAGCATCCGGGCGGCGTCAGCCGTCTGCTTTTCGAGGGAGGTGGACGCTCCGGGTTTGGGGTGTTTTTTCCTGTCCCCGCCCTCACCAGGTGCGCGTTGTTCGTGCTGTCGGTGCCAGCGGAGGCTCGGCGAGCGCGGCTGCCCGGCGGCCGAGCGCTGTTGCTCGCACGCTCCCGCAGCGCCGGGGCCGCTCGCTGCCGCTGTCCGGCGCCGAGCGCTGCCGCGCCGGCTGAGGCGGGTCCCGGCGGCTTTGGGAAGCTGCTGTGCGCCCTGGAACAGCTCTCGCCGCGCCTCGCCCCTGCTGCTGCTCCGAGGGAGCATCTTTAGCCGTTTGCCTGTCCTGTGCTGTGACCAAGGGCATTTGATTTTCACAAGCGTTTAACCGAGGTACGTGTTTTGTGGCCTGCGCTTGATCATTCACAAACGTCTTTTGGAAAGAACCTGTATGTAGCCTAACTCACTTCGCTGGATGGCGAGTGTTTGAATTGAACGAACGCTTCTTGGCTTCGGAGAAATTGCCTTCGGCGGAGGCAAAAAAGGGGAACGCTCTGGGAGAGCGCGGTGACAGCACGGGGTTGCACAGCTTCTGGAAGGAGGGATGCGGAGAGAAGGGAGGCATGGGCTGGTTTCTTTTGCTGTGAGATGCTGCAGCCCAGGGGTGTGATAGCGCAGACCACTGGGTCATCACTGTGCAAGCAAATTCGTAGCTCAGCGGGCATAAGCAGAGACTGTCACCCGTGTGCTCTTTCACAATGCTTGCAGAAAGATGACGGGGAAAGGATTGCTCTCTCTGCAAATAAATTGTAACATGCCTATCCAATGTAGTGGGAGAAAAGCTGAGCTTAGACAGCACAGCATGAGGAAAAAACACAGGATGGACACACAAAAATATGCCCTTTGCAAGCATTTTATGTCTGCCTAAAAGCTGCAGGCTGTTTCAACATCATCTTGCTGGATGCAATAAAGTTTGGAACAGAAATCAAGTGACGCAAACTCTTCCTAGCCTTGCAAATGCTAAACAGTTAGAGGAAAATTGTGAAAATAGTGGTAAAGGGCTGAGAATTTGCCACGCTGATTAACATTTATATAAACAAAGACAATTAGGAATGCATACTAGCTATCATTAAATTAATTCTTTGCTAATTTTAGCAGAATGGGAGAAAGCTGAGTAAGAGAAATGTGTAAAATCTGAATCATGTAAGATGCATATAGTGCTGGCAGTTTTATTATGATAAGGTATCCAACTGGAGTGTCATATCTGTTTCCTTGTGATTCTGCTTTTTACAGTCATCGCGAACGAATGCACTCTAACTTTCCTGTGCCTGAACAGAACGAAACAAAAGGCAGCCTGAAACCACCAGCTGCCTTCTCTCTGCTATTATGCCTAGCAGGACTTGTTCTCCTTAGGGATGGTTGCTGGTTGTAGCTGTGTACTGGCTGCCTTCCTTTCCCACCTCTTCCTTGGACTGGGTCACCCCTATCACCCAAGAAAGGGGGGAAAGAAAAGGCAGACATGTCCCCCCGCCTCCCTCATGTTTCCCCAGCTTTCCTGTGCTCTGGCACACAGGCTGGCCTGCCTGCTGGCTGCACTTGCTGTATGCAGTATGTGTGCTTTGCTGTCAACAGGATACATGCTGCAGGACCTGGAACTGCTGGGGAAGGGGTCTTGGGCTATTTCAGCATCCAGGTCTAATCAAGTGCTATTACCATGTATGTATGTGAACATATTTCACATAGCAAGTTATTGTCATGGGCATTTTGCTAACCTTTTCAGATGTAAAAGGATGAACTGGGATAACTCGCTTCTGCCAAGTGTCTTTGTTCATAATTGGGTCTTACTGGTGCAGTGGAAATTGTAAATTCTACCCTGTAAATTCCCCATCAGAGGCAGGAAGCAACAGAGCCTTTCCTTCTTGCACCTCATCTACACAGAAGAGGAATTATCTCAACGACAAGAATACATTCAGAAGTTGCTGAAAAATCTGATGTTTCTGATAGGTCTGAGACTTGGAATCTAAATACTAAAAAGTCAATATTTTCATATCATCATATTGTCACCTCTACCTTCTGCACTCTTTTGCAAGCAGTCCTCACCCTGTGTCTACATGACTGTGGTTGCCTCCTTTTCCTGGCTTGCGCAGAGGAAATCCTGTTACGACATAGTCGATCCATGGCGCTGCTGCAAAAGCCACCTCTTAGCCTGCCACTTCATCTACATCTCCCCTCTTTGTCAGTCCTGCTGCTCCCTCATTCCCCTGCATCCGACATGTCAGCCTGTGCTCTCAGCATCTTTCTCCCTCAAGCATCATCTCTGCTTTTCTCCAGCTCCACCTTGTGCTTACTTGTACATTCATATAGGCACTTTGTCCATCATTCCTTTAATTTCCTTGAAATGTCCCAGCACTTTTGCTTTGGTTTGATGCCTTCAGCAGCTGTCTGGTGAGATGCTAAGACAAGCCCTCACCTGTGCTGTCACCATCTCTGCCACTGGAATTACTCTTGCTCTGGATTGGAGCACAACAGTGTCCTCTAAATCTAGGACATCTGAGAGGCAGTTGTTGAACAGATCACTCTAGCACCAGCAGAAACTCTCCTTCCTATTATCCTTCTTCTCCATAAACTTCTCCATAGCCTACATTATCCTCACTTGCTCTTATTTGGCATTTCAGGTGCAACCCTGCCCCCTTATGCTTGCACAGCACAGCGTGGCTTGCTGCAGCTCCCTTTGCAATCATCTTGTCTCTTTGCCTAAGTTGTTGCAGGCTGTTTTGCAAACAGGGACTATGTGTGAATATTAGGCACACAAATATGCCGTGATTTCTTCATCAGGGGAGGGCATGTATGCAGCCTGTGTTGATAAAATAAGGAATGGTGAGGATAGGGATCTTCTGTTACAGCAGTGAGGGGAAACAGAATCAAAGGAGAAGGATGTTTTCTTACTTTTCTTAGTAAAGCATAGTGTGCCAAAGCCAGGAAGCAGAGTTACAGTGAATGGAGTTACCGGGATAGCACATCTGTGCCTAAAACTCCCCTGATATTTAAATGTACAGATATTTGAGTGTAGTTGATACTGAATCTGCATTTTTTGGAGAGAAAAAGCTGAAAATTATGCATTAACAGAAATTTCTGTTGAACCAAGTGTAAAAGACTGTGTCTTAGCTTTATATTGTGACAAAGTTCCTAAGAAGGTTGAAATGAAATCTGCTTGACATTTTTGGGTGTGATATGGATTTATAAAATTTGTGATATATAAATTGTGTGATTTATACCTGTTGTTTTTATAAAATATATTCAAATCAGTATATCAGCTGAATTCTGAAATAGAAGGGTGTTTTCTTATTGTTCCGGGCTGTACTTCCTGGGTCACAGCTTCGCTAGTTAAGGACCAATAACCCCACTGACTAGCAAAGTTAAAGGGCACTACCTGTTCAGCAAAGCTCCTTGCTGCCTGCCCAGAATTCTCCCGAGACAGGAGTGGATGTGCCCGCGTGGAGAGTGGAGATGAGGGCTCTCAGGTACGCTCATGCGTGCAGCCACGGCATCGGCATCGGGCAGGAGGATGTGCTGCAGCACTGGCAGAGACAATAGAGGCCTTAAGTCCATTCAGTTCAAGATTTAGCCACCCTTTGTCCTAAAACTGCATTCCTTGTAGATTAAGGGAATGGGTATGATATTTTTGAGAGGTTTTTCCCCCTCTGCCTGAAGGTGAACCTGAGTCTCAGCACTGCAAGTTTTTGGTTCTACAAGAGTGTGATGGAAAATGAACCCTGTGATAACAAGGGTTGCTTGCCCTGGAGCTTGGTATTTTATCTGGTATGTTTTGGTCTGAATAAACAATGTGCAGGAGGTGAAGCACCATGAGAAGTGCGGTGGCTTCAGAAAGGGCGAAGACAGTGCACAGCCCTCCACTGCACTGGTCACTTGGCCTCAGCTGTGGAGTCCAGTGCTGCTCTGCCTGTGTCAAATAAAAGAGGTGGTTTTTGGGAGCCCATGTGAAGCGTCAGGCATGAAGTTGCAAAGCTTAACTAACTTTTGTTTGTTCTGAGATTAATTACATCACTGAGAGGCTTATCAGTTGGTGGGATGCTCCACACAGCCTTCATAAAGAAGAGGTAGCAGGAATGGGAGACTCAACTATGAAAGAAGGCAACAAGGCAGAAGCAGTTGAAATACTTTCATATACTTGTTCCACTGAGGCAAATGGATTTTAATGGAATTTTCATTTCTCATTAAGCAGCCATTCCACACTATACTAAATTTTCTGCTGAAACAAAACTTCCAAATCAGATGTTGCAAGAAATCAGACAAGAAGACATTACACAAAATACAGAAGTTAAGGATTCCTGACACCTGCTGGTTTTTCCTCTTCCCTAGCTAACCTTGCCCTGGATCTCCTTTCCAGCTGGGCACCTGGGACCTGTCACTCTGACAGTGACACCTTAGTGGCTGTTTTTGACTGTAGAACTCAATTACCAAGATTTAAAGCTATTATGGGCAACCAAATGGCTGTATGAACCTTCATGTCTTCTCTGTCTATCACCCACTATCATTAAACTTTAGGAGCTCAAATCTGTTTAACGTTTCTGCCTGGGTTGAAATTGGCTGAGAGTGGCAACAAAAGTTATTCAGAGTGGCAATAAGGAGAATAAATTTGGGACTGGACACCAAGAAATCAAATACAACGCATCCCTATGGTCAGCAAAGAGTAGGCTTTTGAGTTTTGGGTGGGTTTTTTCAGCAACCTGTATTTTTTCACAGAAAATTTTCAAAAGAGAAATTAATATTTTTAACAAACCAGCACAGGAAGGAGACTGATTTCCTTGGTGACTGTATCCTTTGGGTGAGATTCAGATTGATTGTCTCACAGGAGGCTAGACCAGGAGGGCCCCATTTCTCTAAGATCTCAGAGGCATGGCAGCGTTAACCCTCCCCACATCCTGAGAGATACAAGGAACAGATAGATCCCTGCTCCTTGCACATCTTACTGGCACAGTGAATGAATACACTGTTTGGGCCAAATCCTTCTGTAGGCTACTGCTGCAGTTGGAAAATAGCTGTGAGAGGCAGAAGAGTGGTGCAAGAGGATGAAGGACTGTGGGATACAACTGTGTATGAAAAGGAGTCTTCTGAAGATAAGGTTGTTGATGTTCTGGTCCAAGAATTTCTTTGCTCTTCAGAGCTAATTAAAAGCTCTGCCCCTGTGTACACTTGCCATTTGAATATGAATGCCTGCACTTAGAATGCCTCGAGGATGTCTTATGAGTTTCACTTCATGTTTAATCAGCCAAAGATTTGGTAGGCTCTGGTCCCCTTGCCTTGCTGGAGATTGTGGCACTGTTATATTGAATAAGGAGATAAATGGGCTAAAGCAGTGCTCTGAGTGTCTGGGGGAAGATGGACTAACAAAGATTCTACCAAGAAAAAAAGAGCAAAATGCTGTGTATTTGCCTTGGTTGGAGATACAGCCCTCTTGCAGAGATCTATGCCTCTTTCCCCCAGGAAAGAAAGAAAGGGGAGGAAAAGGATCTCTGCTACAAGCAGACAAAACTGAGGGGCAGAGGGTAGAGCTCTTGGCCATGTGAGCCATATTTGCCAGAGAAAATCCATACAGGGGCTGCTGTACCCCCTCTCCATCCTGTACCACACCTGCCTCAGCCTCAGAAGCAGTTCTGGGCAAGGTGACAAGGGTGCACACCCTCACATCTAGTGTATGTGCTGGGTCCATCTCTGGGGCAGCTGTCTTTGGGGTTCACCAACAGCCTCCCATATCTCCTTCACAAAAAGATGGTCAAGAAGCCGTCTGACTCCCTTTGGTGGAACATCAGTATAGTCAGTGTTATCAAAACATTTGGATTTCAACAATACTGTCTTTTAACAGCTGCACTAGACAATTTTCTTTATTGAACTTGGAGAGGCTTAAACCAGAAGTGATTCAGTGACTGAAGGGATGAAAGCAGCACAACAATGCATCAACATCCATCCCCAGAGATCTGCTTCTCTAACACAGTCAAACCAAATGTGCTGATGGGGCACAGCTCTAAGATGTACAATGATTGTGAAAGTGTCTTTTGTCTCCCAGAGGGGAAAATCTGTTTGAGTATGGCCTCTCTTTTGCTTTAATCTGTATCATTTGGGATTGTTACTTCAAACACAAGAAATTTAATTTACATTATTAAAAGCAATTCAGGGGCTATGTTTTAATTTTAGGTATTGAATACATGTAGCACACAAAATTATTCTAGCTATTCTTGTGTATATAACATACTGAGTTTGGATATTTCAAGATGTGAAAATTTAAACTGCAGATAGTCAGAAATAAAGAGAATTAATAAATAATAGTGTGTAATCCAAAAGACCTGATTCCTGGCTGGAGTCTTTAGGCTATAATGTGAAATGAATTGGAGAGCAGATACAGTGCTTAAAAATGTGCCAGGGGATAGATGTCTGTCTTGGTCCTGGGGCACACTGCAGAACAAGAGAAAGGTGTTATCAAAGCCTGTCTGTAATGCAGAGTTCAGGATCGTGGTTTTGATGCTGTACATGCCGTGCTGTAACTGGGCAGCAGAAGGATGTTGTTAGCAGGAATAAAACACAAGCCAGGATTCCAGTTGGTTTGGTTATTTTTTTCTGAAATTTCTGCCAGTAAGAGCAGTCAAAATTCAGACAAGTGCTGAATTTTATTATTATTGTAGTTGTTATTAAATTCTTCCACTTTAATTTGTTTTTTATAGGGTCTTTTCTCAGCATGCAGTCCCTTTAGATTTGGGCATGATCACCAACCACATCCTCTGCACTGGATATTTGGCCTCTATTTCCACATCTTCTTCCTGCTTGTAAGTATTTTATTCTCCTTGCTCATTTTTCTTTTACTTTTAAAGACCAGATTTAACTCATGGGTTCTGGGTCTGATCCCAGGCCACGATGTCTTTGATTTACATTAATATAAATGACTCTATAATCCACAGATCCATGGGAAATGTAAATTAGAAAATCATTGGAGCCTATCTGAATTAAACTAAGTATCCTTATGGCTCAGAGGGTTTCCTTTTTCCAGCCCCACACAAACCCCCAAACAAAATATAACTTGATTTTAACCTGCAATCAAGCCATCTGGGCACTTGTCTTCTTAGATTTTCAAATACATAAATTTAAATAATATTAAATCATAATAAAAAATGAAATTAGATCATAAATTAAAAGGAAAACTTTGCTTGTGGCAGGAAATAGCTTTTCTTTTCCTTCTGTGCTCTATTTTATTGAGTCAGTTGGCAATTGATCCTGTTTCCCAGGCAGGGTGGAAAAGGGATTCTCTGGTCCTAGAAGGTCCTTCTGTAATAGAAAAAAGCATCCTACTTACTTGTGGTCTTTAATTGCCAAAGGCATGTATCTGAGAAGCATTAACAATCATATTTTTGTTAATCTCCAAGCTGGAAGTCATTCTTTGCCTTTCCTACCTAAATTTTCAATGGAAAAAATGTTGCTCACATATTTTTTTCTGTCTAGAGCTACTTTCTTATTTAGTTGCATGATGTTAAACTGCTACACTTTCCCAGCCTAGAGCATATTGCCTTTCAAGGCTGAAGTGTTCCTGGTACACTGTTGGAAATTTCATTCATCCTTTAATATGAGCATGCAAACATGTTTTTATTGGCATTAAATATTTCGTGTTACATGTTTGCTCGAAGGGAAATATTGGTAACATAGGAAGGAAATAAATGTAGAAAACTAAGGCAGTGAGGGGGAAGATGAAAGAATTAAGCCAGGGGCTCCCTGGCCTTCATACATATATCAATCTAGTGAAAACTTGCTGCCAGCTTTTGGAACCAATCACTCTGATACCAGAACTTGGGAAGGGGCAACACATTTTTAGGAATGAGTAAGTCTTATCTTAGAACTGGCTTCATCATATCACCTAGGAGCCTGCACAATCTTCCTCCTACTCTTCCTGCCCTGTTACAGCACATTGAAGTTTGGCCAGAGGAGGGACCTCTCTGTTGTAACTATGCTAAGGGCAAATTACAATCTCATCTGTTAGGAGATGTTTACAATAAGGGCTTTCTAGGATACCTTCTACCTGTAAAGAAACAGTTCATAGGAAATTGTGACAAAAGCGTTATTTTATGTGATATACAAATGCTGATTTTCTTTGATGTCAGTTTGTCTCTCTGCTTAAACATCTTGACGACACCTGAAACAACCAAGATATTTCTCAGCTTGTAATCATAAAAATACAGGAAGAACCAAGCAAACTAAGTGTTTTTCTATGTCTGATAAACTCACAAGAAATTGAGTCTACTAGACTTGTCTTTGCTGCCTGTTCCTCAATTTTTAGGGTTTCAGTGGTGTGAGTGTGTGCCATTAAATTTTATCTGACTGAGCCTGGAGAAGTAGAGTTGTAGCATCAAGATATATGAAGAAATACAATACAGACAGTAAAGCATTTACGACATTGGGACTATGAAAAAGCTATGTTCATTCTGTCCTGCAGAGGCTCATTTAATACTCATTTAGTTTGAACTGGGAGATGGCTACTGTCTTAGCAGTGCTAAAGATTAAATTACATATAATTTGGCACTCAGGGCATATGCTAATTGTGAGACCTCTGCTCCTGACCACATTTGCATTTCCATACAAACTGGATTTTCTGGCAGGTACCATCACATGTGCAATAGTGGCTAGCTTTGGCATGGCTGCCCAGGCGTGGAACTGCTGGTACCTGCAGCTGGCCTCTTACTCAGTGATGCCTTGCCTGATCCCTCACCTTCTCAGTTTGTCCTTCTTCTGGTGAATGCCACCTCATCCATCTCCTACTTACCACAGGATAAAAGGAAATATGAAAAAACTCCCAATTGAGCCCACCTGAAGTAAGAGTGGTTGTCCTGGTTGTCCTCATCTGTGAAAGGTATTTATACTAAGGACATGAATGAAGAAACAATGCACAGCTGGGAGAATATAGCTAAATAGTGGCTCTGGTTGAAAAGCCAGGATGTACAAATGGCACCATGTATCTAGGAGAGCCTTTCCTTTTGTGCCAACGCTCATAATTGAGGACTAGAGTGACAGAACAAGGTTTTGTTCTCTTGTACATCTAAAACTAGCAGAGTGTGGAGGTAGACTCTGTGCCTTCTTGGACCAGTGAATTGTTTTACTGAAATATGTGAATCTTCTAGGCAGATTGTCCACCAGAGCAGCAAGGCTGTGTAACAATGGAGCAATAACTGCAGGAAAATTCAGCCATAGTTGGAACGGCAGAGTATGATCTGGGGCTTACAGCAGTGAGGCTGGACTGGAGCACGCAGGGAGCCTCCTCAAGTCACACAGCCCTGTCCTGGCAGTAGAGCTGCCTCTGACACAGTAGTTCAGATCCAGCTACACCATGAAACCTGAGTACCCCTGCAGACAGGTGCCAGTTCTGCTGTCCCAGGAGTTTTCAAGAGTGGTTAATTGGAAAGCCACCTCCTGTCAGACAGTTCTCCTGCAGTCATTCAGGAACAATACTTGCAATTCATTCTTTACCTTAAACCAACTCAACTTTTCAACAACAGATGAGGGAAAGGCAGGGACCACTACAGAATGTGAATCTTTGTCTCTATGGTGTATTGTCTGGGTCAGTTTACAGCCCCCAGAAAGACAACAGGTTTATTGCAGTTTACCAGCTTTGCCATTATACTTTGAAGTCAGTGACAAAATTCCCAATAATTTCTGGGACTAGGTTTGGGCTAAATGTTATGATGTTGTTGTATTTAGTTTTCAGAAATGCAAAAAAACTCCAATTACCTAACAAGAAGGTGAAGCTGCCATCTGACTCTCTGGGAGTTATTTCTTCAGGAGGATCAGGGCAAGAGAAACAAACAGTTTGTGGCACTTACCTTCTTATCCCAGCAGAAGCAGGAGCCTGAGTTGAAGTGGTAGCTGTGGTGCAGTGAATGAAACTACTCATGGCTTCATTTGGAATCAGAGTTTACAGTGTCTCTAATCTCACCACAAAATATTCATTTAGAAATAGCCTGGGTGATGTTGTAAGACTTAGAAAAGCTCTGATTTAGCAAAACACTCACATCTCTGCTTAACTGAGGTTCTGGTTAGTCTTATTTAATACTATAAATTTTCCACTAACTTAAAAAAAAGTCCCAAAAATGCCAGAGTTATTCCTTGTACCAGGGTCAAGTGCTAGAAGTAAAAGCAGAATGTAGTAGATTTCAAATTTGTGAAAAATTTAAAGGCTTTCAACTTCTGCCATGTTAAAGGATTTATGTGAATTAATTCCTTAACTTCTAATAGAACAATTCAATTAATAATGGATCTAATTTTCATTATGACATGTAATTAAGAATAAACATCTTCTATATCAAAGCCTATCTTTTAAAAAGGATAAATTAGATATAACACACTTAGATATTTCCAGAACATGAAATGAACACATATTGTTGCATTAGTTAATTTTATATCACCAAATTAAAGACAGTTCAAAAGGAGTATAATCTCATAAGGATCTCCCTTTGTTCAGTCTGTTGTGACTTATTTCAGGAGGTACAACAAATACAGTTTCCTATGAAGCTAAATACAATTAGGGTGATAAAATGGTTTTAGTTTAGTATATTTTATGCATCACAATGAGTTATATACCACAATGGTAAGAATATTTTTATCTGGTATTTGCAGATGCAGCTTTGTGCTCCTGCATATCTTGCAGGCTGTTGGGATGCTTGATTGAGACCACCAAAATCTCCACTATAAAACAGCAATAAACAATAAAACAACATCTGGAATGTAACCTTTTGTCCATAGCCCTTAGATAGTCCTCTCATGCTTGCTGGGCTGGCAGGGCTGCCCATTCCTTGGGACTCTGCTTGTAGGTGTCAGAAGCTGAAACATGCCTGCCTTTGAGATCTCCATGGCAGAATAACAGCAAGGTACATTTTTATATTTGAAACCATTTAAAAAATTTCATAAATACACAGCAAGAAAGCAAGTCTGGCAGATTTTCTAATTCTGGGTACCTCTGGCAGATCCCTATGGAGTAAGTAGGTAATGGATTCATCATTGACTGTGATGTGGAGTGGCTTCACTCATCTAAGTTGAGGAGCTGAAGTCTTGAGAGGGAGTTTCATTACTTGACTAGATTTTTTATCACAAGATAAATTGGATTCCGGTACCTCTGTCCCATATAAAGTACATTTTTGATTGTGCTGTTCTGCACTTAAACAACTCATGGTTGGGAAAAGTCAATCCATCAGGATTCAGCAGGATTTCTCCTAATCTCTGCATTTTGGAAAATTGAGATATAAAGATAATTGGTAGTTATTCTTTAAGAATTGCATCTTCGAGCTAAGAAATGTAACTCTTCAGACCTAAATTATATCAGGTGAATATTATCTGCTAGTAAATTAACCTTGCTTTTTTTTTTTTTTGCTTTTTTTTTTTTTTTTTTTTTTTTTTCCTTGCAGTTCTGAAGGATAAAATATTAAATTGTCTTGGGCTTGAGGAGTAAAGGATAAATTCATTCACTGGCTGACTTGTCATCTCACCGTTGTGATGGAAAAATGTTCACTTAAAATAAACCCTTTTCATGCCACTAAAACTGCCTTCGCATACAAGATCTGTTGTGATTTTTAAAACACAAACCCAATAATGTCCGAACCCGACCCTTCATCTGGATTTGTGGGAAACATGGAAAATGGGACTTTTCTGGAGCTGTATCCCACATCCCTTTCAACTTCAGTGGATTCATCACCTGGCCGTTTATCCAACGTCTATGTCTATGTTTCTATATTCCTTAGTCTCTTAGCTTTTCTTCTTTTGCTACTGATCATTGCACTTCAGAGGCTGAAAAACATAATTTCTTCCAGTTCCTCCTACCCTGAATACAATAGTGATGCTGGAAGTTCGTTCACTAATTTAGAGGTTTGCAGTATTTCTTCCCAGCGCTCTGCTCTCTCAAACCTGTCTTCATGAAAACAAATGAAAGGAAACACACGGGGAATGGAAGAGCTTTGTCTAGTTTCTTGGGGAAGTAGTGCATGTAACATTTGCCTTAGAAGACTATTATCAAGAGGTGTTTTTAAAAGTTTCCTTATTTTTTCCCCTTTCCTTTTCTAGTTTTCATTTCCCCTTTAACTAATTTTCATCTTGAACAACGGATAATGAATGATACCTGATCATCATTTCTTGCCTGTAATAGTGATGCTGTCTCTTTCTCACACGTAGATGGTGTTCATTAAGAGTATTCCTGCCAAATTGTAATACAGTTCTAACTGGATGTGTCATTTTTCTGCTATAATTGTGACCCCTTCCCTAGTCTTGTGTCAGCAATATGCTGACTATTTTTCCTTTTCCTTTTTTAATTATATAAGGTGTTCTGGGTGAAATCCCTATTGCAAAAGTACAAAATTCTGCTTAAATTATAAATATTGAGACAATTTAAAGTTGTTGATAATGTTTCCTTTTTTTTTTCTTTTTAGTTTTCACATATTTTTCAGTGTTTATTGATGTTTATAAAACACAACTAATTCTTGAAGAATGTTGCTTTTGTTTTTTTGTACTCCCAACGTGTTCTGTATAAAGTCTGTATTTCAGTTTTTGAGTCTCTTTGGTTAACTTAGTAAAGCAACTACAATGACTATGCTCACAGTTGAATGTGTGAAGGTATTTTTGGACCCTGTTGCATCTCATGATCTCATTTGCCTAATGACATGTTCCTCCAGGGGGCAGCTTTTGCTGCCTAATCATAAATACCACACAACTCTTTTTCATTCTTCACAGATACTACAGCTTATTCTTCCTGGATACCAGGACAAGCTAGTGGTTTCTTGTAAAAGGCCTGAATTTAACAAAAACAAGTAGGAAGTTAAGAGCTCCTAAACTGTCCTTTACGCACATGATGTTTGTACTCACATGAGCAGGGCCAGCAGGGACAGAAACTGCTTGTACTGGTGAGGACCTTCTGGGCCAGGCTTTGTCCTGTGATTTCAGAAATGTGCATTGGGTGGAGGGGGGCACACAGGGACCTGCACAATGGCCAGGAAGACCTGAGCTCTGACCTGCAGGAAGTGCAAGGTGTACCTGCAGAGGGTAGGAAAAGATGGGCAGGATAAATGGCAGTGGCTCTGCCACTTTTCCCCATCAGCATAAGGGCAGGCCAACGAGAGGGGAAGAGAAATGGATTCACAATCTCTCTCCTCTTTGCCATGCCATTTTCTAGGTTATCATTTCCCCTGCTCAAAGTGTAACATGTCACTCCATTTCTGCAGTAAAATAATGAGCAGCTTTGTGAACTGGATCCTGTGGTCAGCAGGGCTTTAAATCAAGCCAAACATTCAAATTAGTGATCTGAAGTGCCAAGTGTGACCTACTAGAACTGCAACCACAGACTGGTGCAATGCCTTGTTGTCCTTATTGCACTGTGAGCACAGTTCCATCCTGCCACCCAGCCCATGCAAATATTGTGCTCCTGGCTGGATTCAAGTCACTGGAGAGACCTAAGAAAGGTATGGCATTGTCACTGCATTTTCTGTTACTGACAAAACACAGGTGTAACTCCGGGAGGTGGGATTATCTCAGCAGGAGCAGCTGCTCTCCCCTCACATGGCACCACTGCCCAGCAGGCCAAGGGCTTAGGGAACACTTCCCAAACACATTTATACCTCTTGATGAGCTGGCCATGCATTTATAAACAAGACAGACTCTGCCATTATCTACACAGGCTTTAAAATACAAATTTGGAAAGTCTGGTATAAATATAATCATTAGAAATGCAGCTGCTGTTGCCAAACAATACAGATGATGCTGGAGTTGGTGTTTTTGGATTTTAAAAGTGGACATGCATTATGGTAAGTGGTAATGACTTATGGTGGTGATTAGTTCCTTACAGAGTCGAAAGAACTTGCTGACTAATAAAGAATGTAAGCCTGCAGATTCCGTGAGCCAGACTGGTTTGATGGATATATTTACAGCTTGGAATATTCTATTCATCTAGAGAAAAGTTTACTGTATGTAACTTTTTACTGTATTTGACAACTGGCCTTGGAAAAAGAGGTTGTTGCTTAAAAGGGATCAGGAAACATTATTTCCCTTCTGAAGTCTCTTTGAAATCCCAAACCTGTTGCAGAATGTATTTGTATGTTGACCAGTAGATAGAAATAAACAAACTGTAAATCAAGACAGAGCAACTGTTTGACTATCTTCCCTTACTGACAAAGTTGTAAATTTGTTGCTTCCTTTGCTGCAAATGGAGGAATTTAATCAAAACCAGAGATGAGACCACAGGTCGAGATGGGTGTTTGTTCCCAGCAGTGTGTTTATACTTGCAGATATAGACACATTTAATATTAAAATACAAACTGTTGAAACCCTACTGGCTGTGTTCAATGAGCTGTTGTCAAACTCCACCAGAACAGAAAGAATTTTTCCAACTGCAGAAAATAGCAAAGATGACTGAAACCACACATTTGATTTTGCTTTGTATTTTACTAGATGCGATTAATTTTTTTCCACTCTGCAGTGACATACAGGATTGTATAGTCATCATGATTTCAGCTGAGTTGCATCTGTTCTCTTCAGGACAGATTTAAATAAAAACAAGTAGGTTCCAACAAAATAGCATTAGGAGAAGCCACGGGAGAAAAGCACAATGGCATTGTTGATGATTGCTAAGTACCAGTTCTTCAAGAAAAAAAGAAAAGAGGAAGAAAAAAAGAAATCCACCTGAGAATCTGAGCACTGGAACAGACTTCCTAGAGAGGTGGTGGATGCCCCAAACTTGTCAGTGTTTAAAAAGCACTTGGACAATGCCATTATCAAGATGCTTTAGCTTTTCGTCACCCCAGAGTGGTCAGACAGTTAGATTAGATGATTACTGTAGATACCTTCCAGTTGCAAATATCCTACTATTCTATTCCAACTAGATACAGGGATATTTTTGCTGTGTCCAGTTCTGGGTTCCCAGGAGAAGAGAGAGAGATGTGGAGATACTGCACCGAGCCCAGCTCAGAGCTGCTGAGATGATTAAAGGATTGGACCGTCTCCCACATGAGGAGAGGCTGAGAGAACTGGGATTGTTCAGCCTATGGAAGGCTCTGAAGGATCTCATCAGTGTATAAAAATACCTTACGGGAAGGAGTAAGAGGGAGCCAAGGCCTTCCCAGTGGTGCCCACAACAGGACAAGAGGCCAAACTGAAACACAGGAAATTCCACAAGAAAATAGATTATTGAGGGGGTAGTCAAACACTGGCACAGGTTGTCCAGAGAGGCTGCAGTGGTTCCAAGTGTTGACCTGCTTTCAGTTGACCCTGCTTTGCGCAAGAGGACTGGATCCGACAATCCTCAGGCAGCTCCCTTCATGTCAGTGCAAAAACTCAGAGGCTTCTGGCTCACTGCCTCCTCCTCATGTGTTTTCTCATCCCTGGAGCTGAGTAAGCAGTATCTTTACTGGGAGGTAATTAGTTCAGTAATTTGTTGCTGAAGAGCTGCTCAGCTCCCCCTCCTCCCTGCAGCTACATACTTTTCCAGCTTCTCCACGGCCTTTTTGTGGTGTGGGTTCGCATTTCACTGTCAGCTTTTTCCCCGAGCTGTTTTCGGTTTTTACTGAGACCTCTAGCTCAAACATTGCCATTAACTTTGTTAAGATATGGCATCAAGTAGTTGCAAAGTATACCTGGAAATCTATAGAAAAAATATATAAATAAAACAAGGATGAGGAAAGAACTGAAGAAGTTTCTGGAAAACACAGAACAATTATTTTGCTTTAGTTCACCAAATATGGTTCATTCAAGCATATTTAATCTGAGTACCTGCTGAAAGCTGTAGCAGCATCTATATCTAACACTCTCTTGCACTGTTGGCCACCTTAATCCTACTGTCAAGTTAACCCTTTATCTGCCCTGAAGATTACTACATTATTCCCATCCTGAAACAGTGCCATGCTTTTCACTTAGCAACTCTTCAGCTCCATGGAGAGTTTATTCCACTTGAAATGATTTTCTGTGTTCAGCCCTTCTCTGCCAGCTCACCTGAAAGGTTTGTGTCTGTAAGCTGAAATTCTTGTCTGGATTTCCAACAAAGGTCTTTCAGCCTGGGAGCAAGCGTTGCTCCTCTTCTGTGCAGCTTGCTTGCCTTCCCCACTGTTTAGCCCCATGGTACGCCGGCAAGGCTGAATCTCCAAGGAACATCATGTCCCACTGTACTTGAGCTTTTATCCTTTTCTTTGGTGAGAGCCCTAGCAAAGACACCTGCGTGGGAAGATTATTTATGAGGTCTACATACTTCCCATTCTTCTTGCTAGTCCTGTTTTCACTGCATCTGCTTCGACTGTCCAAGGAGACTTGGTGAGTTCCAGCCCAGCTGCTCCAGGCTCCATGACCCTTTCACATCCACTGCCCTCCGCAGGCTCCCAAAGACAACAAGGGCCCCACTCCGGGGCTACAGCGGACGATTACACACCCTGAATGCAAGGCATCAAAGTAGCCTGAAGGAGCCCTTTTTTTTTTTTCCCTCTCCAAGGAAAGTGGGCTTCCTCTTGCCTGGAGCAGCCCTCGAGATGCTTTACCCCTCAGTGATGCCAGGCAGTTTGATGTGCCAGTGGGACACAGCCCTGTGCTCACACCACTGCTCCACAAAGCTCCTGGCTCACTCATACTGCCCAAACTGTCCAACAGGGGCTTGGCCAAGGTCGCTTTCCTGATGCTAGATACAGGTGTTTTCCCAGTTCCTCCCAGCACTGGGCTTTGGAGATAAAAGCAGCATCCTCCTCCTGTGTACCCCCTTCCAAGGCCAGGTAGGCCCATTGTGTAATCATGATAATCACAGCAAGCTATTTTTCACTTCTGTTTTCTTTGGTTTAGATCAGTGGGAGCTGATCACCCTCTGAAAGTCTGAAAATGGCTGGTGGCTCAGAGGCCATGATAGAATCTCCAGGTGCCTTCTGAAAATTGGACTGGCTCCTTGGCATAGTTTCACGTCACCTTCTGTGCCACTCTGACAGCAGCAGAGTGGCTGCATTTGTTTCAGCACCAAAAGATACAGTTTTAATATAATAAATGTCTTTAAACAACTTCAATTAAAAATCAGAAGCAGAAAAGTAAACTTTTTAAAAGTATAATCTAATGTATAGCTTTTTACAAACAGACAGAATTTTCATTTGTAAGTTTATGTATTTTGTAAAAATATCTATTTCTAAAGAGAAAAGCTATATGACTGAATTGTTAAAAATGGAGCATTTTACGCCAGCTGTGCTGACATTTTTGCCCACAGATTTTTTTAGGTAAGACATTCTACTGTTTAAGGGGACAAAAAATTACTCTATCCAAATATTTCTCTCTTCAATAAACAAGTGTAGGGGTCTGTCAGGACATTTTTGCCACACATATTTACTTAAGAAACTACACTTCTAACACTCAGTGCTGATCTGATCATACAGACCAGAGTACAGTTACATCTCTCTTTTTTGTTTGTTTGTTACAGAGTATTGCTGAATAAATACAAGATGGAGACTAAGCTTCTAGTTAATGAATTGCACCCTCACTGCTCCTTCAGCACCATGATAAGCTTGTCATTTGTTTTAGAATATTAGCCAAAACCATACATCATTTGCATGGCTTTTTCTTGAGCTGGGTCTCAGCAGTTGCTGACAGGTAAGAAATTAGTGTAAAGGACATATCTATGATGGAGATTCCCTGTGTAGTTCATTCAGGGCAAATCCTGCTCCAGCTCCCTGGATACTGCTACACATCTGGGAACTGTATTCTGGGGGATTTCTGCCAAGGTACCCTCCCTTTTTCCAAACAGCTTCATCAGGATGCAGAAGGTGAAACTCATGAAACTAGAACAAGCTAAAACACCTTCCAGGAAAAGAGAATGATGATACAAAGGCACCCTAGCAAGAACAGAAACATGTCAGGGACTAAAAGGAGATACAGCCTGAAAAAACATACAAATGGATGTGTCTGGGGCAGGAGTAAACTCAGAAAGGACTATGCTGGCTGGGGAAGCAAGGAGCAGCAGTGACAGAAGATCATCTTCTCATGAGAGGTGTGATGAATTAGGCACAAATAGGCAACATTGCAGCAAAAAGGTAAATAAGGCTGCCATCCCTCACAAGACACATGGTCCATTTTTCTCCTGTCCTCAGTGTCACTGTCAGGGACCCCACAGGGACAGCTACTGGGCAGGGGGAGAACAAGGTTCACATCTGGGCAAGTAACTTCACTGGTCCACACATGGGAAGTTCCTCCCTAGCCCTAGGCACACACTCCCCTCCTGCTGCAGCTCTGCCTGTTGCTGCTCTGCTGCTGATTACCTTACCTCTAGAAAACCATTTTCTGCCCAGGGCATATAAGAGCCCTATTTGTTACCATACACCAATGCTTTCTTTGCTCTTTTTTTTTTTGCATCTGAAGGCTCCAAAGGATTGCCAAATAAATTGCACTTCATCTGGGATATCACACAAGGCTCTCCAAGGCTGCCATGGTGCTTTTCTGCACAGCCTGGGCTGCTGAGCAGGAGCTGGACAGGTGCCCCATCAGCTGGAGACACTGAGTTGGTGTTTCCTGTCCTGCCACCTGTCAATGCTCCAGCTCTCCTGCTACACAGCACACTTCAGCACATGTGGAACCAACTGCTCTTCAAAAACTGCTCTTTACATGTCCAGAGAGGGCTTTTCAGTGAGAAATGCCTCTATCCTCACAGTAGTTTTGTATGGTGTTGTAACATTGCTGGAAAACCCATACGAGTGTACCCAGTTTCCACAGTAAGAAGTCTGAAGAATGAGTAATGGACATTTTCGGTAGTTTCTTTAAAACAGAAGGTGCTTCATGGTTTTCAGTTTCCATTCATGCTTTGAGGTTGGCTTTATTCAGAAATTAACTTCTGAGTGAACATGTCACTGTATCTCTGCAGGAATAATTTTCCTTCACTAACATTTCTATATTTGAGACCCTCGCAAATACACCATTTCAGCTTATGGCCCTATGTTATAGTCCTGAAGAAATGTCTAAATTTGCCATTTCAGCCATCACTATGACAACAAGTGCATGTAGGGGAAAAGGGTAACCCTAATATCTGCTCCTAACAGTGAGTTAAAGGCTGAGTTAGATCGGCCAGACAATTCTGTTAGATCCAGGTGGTTCGGTTCAGATTTCGTGGTGTGTTTGTTGTAAGACACT